ATCATCAATATGAAAATAATTTACGTCTAAATTCTTTATCAAGAGAACGTAGTCAATCACATTTACCATCATCTATTGATTGTAATGTTAATGGTATTTTTAAAACAGTAGATATATTAAGACATGATTCATCATTTGATAATACTATCAATGATGAACATCGTCGTTTAAATCATCGTACACAACCATTATGTTTATCTAAAACACGTCATTCAAATCGTTATAGTCAACGTGCTATAGCACAATTTATGCATGAAAGACATAAAGCATGTTTACGACGAAATCAAAAAGCAAGTCGAATGCTTGGTATGAATATAAAAAAAGAAATTTTATAATATAAGTTTTTTTTTCATAATTTCTTTTTAATTATGATAATTGATGTAATTCAAAAGTCGTCTAAAACTTTTTGTCAGAGATAAATGTCATATTAACAAGGGAAAGCTTCTAATATTTTGATCACTTTTTTTTTCGCAGAATCTAGTTGCTTGACTATGCTGATTGTAAACATTAATAGACGAGATTGGTACTTAGAACTTTAAAAAATTCACTTTCTGAAAAATCAGTTTTTTCTAACAAAAAAAAATATTTTTGATTCATCAAGATTGTGTAGAAACACGTTGAGTTTACTATAAAACACTTGTTTTTTTTTGATCAATTTGAGTAAAATCTAGAGACAGCAGATTTTTCAATAATTGAATAATTACTTGTTTAATGGCTATGCTTTTATAATGAAGTCTAGATAAGCATATGACTTGTAAACTATGTCTACTATTTATTATTTGTTTCAAGAATTTTTTCAATCTTCTATGTTCTTTCTGAATAATTCTATGATGTTATTCTTTTGAAACTAACGAGCGATAATCTCTTGTTTTTCAATCATATTTTTGATTAAATCTCATAGATTAGACATGGAAAACTTCTCGAATTGTATGCATGTACTTTAAGTGCTAGTAACATATTTCTTTTATAAAAATAAGATGATTAAATTTTCTATCAAAGTCAAAAAGGAAAAACAAAGATTTATGTTTTTTGATAATCTCAATAATAATTTTCAAATGGAAAAAAAACAAAACTTTTTTGATAGGAAATTTTTTTTTCGGTTTGGAGAATTGGTTTTCCCAGAAAAAACGAGTCTCTGGAGTTCTATTTATTAATATTAATTATCTATAGTCGATTAAGTTTAATAAAACAAAAGATTAAACGATTAGAATTTAGTCCTTGTATAACTTTACATAACAAAAGTTATTCATATGTCTATATTGAAAAAAAGAATATTTTAAATTCGAAGTTTTTTTTTCTTTCCTAGGTATTTTACTTGCTGTTTTTCTTATTTGTTGGCTTCCATTTACAATATCTTATCCAACATCAATTATTTATCCAAATAAATTTCCAAATATACTTCAATGTATTGTATTTTGGTTTGGTTATGTTAATTCATTATTAAATCCATTTTTATATGTATATAGTTCACGTAATTTTCGTCAAGCTATTATTGAAACATTATGTTGTCATGTTCGATTACGATCACGACAACGATTACGTTATCAATGGTCATTTCGTGCTGCTCAGAAATAAATAAATAAATAAAAATAAAGACAGTCAAACTGTCGAACAGATTACGCGCATTATCCTTCATCCATAAAATTTTGTTTTAACTTAAAAAAAAAAAGAAGCTTTATTAGATCTTTTTCTATATATGAAGAAAAATATTTAATGAATTATTATTAAAATCTAATCGATCAGTATCAATGATTGTAAATAATCAAAATCATAAAATTTTAATAAATTCAATAACAAAAGAAAATAATAATTCATCAATAAAAAAAGGATCATCATCATTGAATATTAAAACATCTGTAGAATTTAATAATCATAAAAATATACAAAAAAGTCAACAAGATTTAAATGCTATACATAAAATTATTGATCAAACAGATAATAATCTTCGACAAGCACTTGAACATGCAAATTTAAGACATGAACAACTCGATGAATTACATTATAGATCAGAAGAAATGCTTAGCAAAAATGAAAATCTTGTATTTGGTAAAAATTTTTATAGAATTTTGAAATAATGAAAAAAAAACAATTAAGTTTTCGATATCATAAAGAAAATCAGTCTGAATTAATGATTTCATTCTCATTGCAAAAAAGTATTTCAAACGGGTTTCATTTTTAAATCTATTATCACAAAGAAATTCACAATGTCAATGAAGATTGATGAGCTTCATCTATGCATAGCTGAAATACTACGGTATATAACGAACTGTTAGCTGCCCAGGTCGTATACGAAATTCATAATCGTCGACCTGGGTGAATTAGAAAGTTTAACTTTTTCGAAGTAATGAAGTTCATAGATAATATTGATAATGCTTGAGATCCTCTAAGGCAAAGATTTAAGTCCCCTAATACATCAGTAGAAGCATTCATATCTTGACAAAATGAAGTTGCATTAACCTACATCCTGTCAGATCTTTTCTTAGAATGAAATCCCATATATATATATATATGCGAAATATTAAGCAAATCAGTACCGAGAGTAATTCATGACTTACCAATATCAGATTTGTTCGTAATAAACAGTATAGTACATTAATGATTATAGAAGATTTTTGTTCTATGATAGGTATTACTAATTATCGTAAAACTCAAGAACGTGATATTTTATGGCGACGTTTACGATATGTTATATTTGGAGTTATTACAATAGGTATTATTATTCTTTTAATTATTTTAAGTATGACTAGTAGACGATCATCATCTTCATCTCAAGTAATTGACATACGACATATTAATGATGATTCATCAAATAATAATAATAATAATAAAGATATAAGTTCAACAATGAAATTAATTGTATCTCGACGACGATGACAAGAAAATGAAATCTTAATAGAATTAAATGAATTTTTATCTTCAAAATCTGAATATATCTGATAATAATCTTTAATGTTTGATTTTATATTGATATTTCTCTAGCGCTTTTATTGTTTTTTTTTTCTCATTGAATATTTTGTTGTTTTGATAATTATATCATTGTTTATTTCTTTATTATTCATATTATATATGGGTTCAAATGTTAGTTGTAATGATATTGATAGTTCAACAAATAGTACAAAAACTAATAGCAATAGTATGTCTTTAATTAGTGATAATGTACCTATAAATAATTCAAATATCAATAAACAAAAATTGAATTGTGAATCAACACAATCACATGTTTATATTAAAGATAAATTTCAATTAGAATTTCTTGATTGTGATTGTTGTTGTGATACAACAAAAAAAGTAGTTAATTATGATTTTCAAGGTATTAATGTATTACAAGATTTATATGAAATGGTAAGTGAACTTAAATATTCAACGAAATCTGTTCGATCTGTGATTTTATTTGGCATTAAATATTGGTATGATAGATTATCGATAAAATTTGAACAATATTTCATATTAAATTTAACTCTCTTATATTCTCTAGTAATAAGAAATAAAAATACTTTTTTTTTTTTTATTTGATAGTTTGTCTAAGTTTCACACAGTATGATTCGTTAATCACATTCTAATCGATTGTCAGTTTTTTTTCTTTAAAAATCGGGCATTTTCAGTTTATCATACATCTATAATCTAATGTTTAACTTTGTCTAAAAAATTTGACAACGCATCGGTTTAATTTCATGTCAAATCGAACTTAAATTCACTCCGTGCATGCTTTCTAATGACAGATTCAATGCGACTCGATTTTGAGATAACATGTTGGAAATAATCACCAGTGCTATCCAAGATCGATGTATCAGTCTTGAATGTTCCATAGAAAATTCTCATCGTTACCGTTGCATTACTATTTCGGTTCGAAGAAAATGCGAATTAATCCCATCTAAATTCGATTATCTAAGACATTTATTAATAAGCCTATGAGTTTTGATTCAGACAAAACACAAACCGTTACATATCTGCTGAGCACTATCTTTCAATCTTTACTAGTAGATAATCATCAAGACTAAAAAACTGAAGTAGAACAAATCATCAATTCATATCTAAAATATACTCGATCTTTTTATATCATCAATTAGTCGAATTTCATAATAAAAACGATTGAATTTTCATGATTTCCTAACTATCAGCTGTTAAACATTGATTGACGAGGACACGTTTTCAACTGTCCAATCGCTTTTGAATTCAGACTCTGTGTATAAAGTAGACTCCCTTAGGGTATAAAAAACCCCAAAGGAATAAGTGCTCATAGGCCTTCTATCCAGAGTTAAATGCATTTTACTGTAATTTTAGCTTATGGCATGGTATATACCAAAAAATCAAATGACGGTATTACGAGCTGAGATTTAACCCATAGATAGGCCTATTGCTGAGTAAAATGTCCTGAAAATTTCAGTTTGAAAAAATGTTTTCTTCCAGAGATATTAGAGTCTCAAAAAACCGAATATTTTAGTATCGTTGATAGGATATGAGTGATTCTTGGGACTTCAATATTTCGGGAACGAAACATTGTTTCGAACTAAAATTTTCAGGACATTTTACTCAGCAGTAGACCTATCTATGGGTTAAATCTCAGCTCAAAATACCGTCATTCGATTTTTTGGTATATACTATGCCATAGGCTAAAATTACAGTAAAATGCATATAACTCTGGACAGAAGGCCTATGAGCACTTATGCTTTGGGGGTTTTTTCATACCCCAAGGGGGTCTACTTTATATACAGAGTCTGAACTCAAAAGCGATTTGACAGTTGAAAACATTCCCTCGTAAATTTCATTCAATTACAAAAATCAATATTGATATAATCTTTCATTTAGATTGTATCACCTGAATATAAACTTAATTGTCGATGTTCATGCGGTGATGATATAGGTGATACAAAACAATCAATCAAATTTAGTCTAACAGGTTCTCCAAATATACAGTTAACATGTGATGATCCTGATCGATTTAATCCAACATATAGTGACGCAAAAATAAAACAATGACAGAGGGCGTTAATAATATACGTATAGGTTTTTAAAGGAGCCAATACACAATGAGAAAACTTTATTAATTGACCGAATAAAATATTAATCAATCTTGATAGTAATTTTTTTTTTTTGTTTCGTTGATGGACTAATAATAATAACAATAAAGAAAAATGAGTGAGCATAGTTATATAAGACAAGATGAATATGGTGATTCTTTAAATGGTGATGAAAATGATGATATGTCTGATGACCAAAATGACTTCGATGACAATGAGGTAGTCATATTATTTATTTACTTATGACGAATAAGATAAAGTCAATATACTTTTTTTTTTTGTTATAAGGAGGATCGTCGTTTTATAACTGTTGGTATATGTGCACAATGGAAAAAAGTCAAAGCAAAACCTATGGAAGAAATTTTACATCGTTTAGAAGAATTTGACTTTATTCGTATAATAGTTTTTTCTGAAAAAATGATACATGAAAGTCCTATTGAAGATTGGCCATTTTGTCATGTTTTAATTAGTTTTCATAGTAAAGGTTTTCCATTAGCTAAAACTCAACAATATGCACGTCTTCATCAACCATTTCTTATTAATGATCTTGATAAACAATGGGATATTATGGATCGTATTAAAGTACATGAAATACTTAAAGATGCTGGAATAGCACAACCACGTTATGGTATAGTTCGACGAACTATGGATGCTGGTAAATAAATATTTTTATTATTATTAATTAATTTCTATAATAAAAATCTTATTTTTATTAGATGGAACATGGAAAACATTATCTGTTGTTAATGAACAAGATGATCAAATTGAAATTGATAATGAAATATTTCATAAACCATTTGTAGAAAAACCTGTATCAGCTGAAAATCATGATGTTTATATTTATTTTCCATCATCAGCTGGTGGTGGTTCACAAAGATTATTTCGAAAGGTATTTAAAACAAAAAACTAAATATTCGAAAAACAAAACATAAATAATATTTCAATTTCTTGAAATTCTATAGTTATCGTATAAGTGGTCAGTAATATAGATGAATTGATCAGTTTATTAAATGTAACCTAATTATTGCATTTGTAAATTAAATATAGTTTTTTTTCTGTTGATGATTTACAATATTTTAAATGAATAGTCATGCTTATAACTTAAAATAAAATTGAAAACCTATTGTTTTTTCATTTGAACAGATTATTAGATCACATCAATGATATAATGTTATATTCAAATCAGTTATTATAATAACTAGTATTGAAACATCTTGCTATACTATCGTTATTTTCAATTACGACGCAATTACACAGTAACTGCAATCGTATTGTTACTCATAAGTGCGGAAAAATCACGACGCAGTTATGCGTAACTGCGTTATAGTTGCTTAAAAACAAGACGACATGGATAATTAATAAATAATGACTGCATGTGTTATTTTGTAAAATAAATACGATATTGAACAAAAAACACATTCGAAATTCTTTTGTTTTTTTTTGCTATAATAGACAAGATGATGGTTTATTTTGTGCTAATGTTGACACTTTTATTTTTTTTTGATTAAACTACTTGAAGACCTAAGTTTTGGTTTTTCTATCTTCTATGTCGTTTTT